AACGTGCCAGCTTCAGTGCATAAAGAGGGAAACACATCATCATGTAGCAATTTCAAATATCCAGTGGCCTTGAGGTTTCCATTGATGAAGAATGGACCCACTATTGTTGTACTCCATATACTACACCAAACCATCACTTTTGTTGTTCCAACAGTCTTGGAGGATCCATCCAATGTGGGTTAGTATTAGACCAATAGCGGTGGTTTTGTTTGTTAACTTCACCATTCACATAAAAGTTTGCCTCATCACTGAACAAAATCTTCTGCGTGAACTGAGGATCCTGTTCCAATTTTTGTTTTGCCCATTCTGCAAATTCTGTGCGCCGATCTGGGTCATCCTCGTTGAGATGCTGCAGTAGTTGGAGTTTGTAAGGGTGCCATTTGTGAGTAGCTAATATCCGCCAAAGGGATGTTCGACTAATGCCACTCTCCAGTGACATGCAGTGAGTGCTACGCTGTGGGCTCTTGCTGAATGAGGCTAGGATAACCACTGATGTTTCTTCATTAGTGACAGTTTTCTTGCGTCCACATTTTGGAAAATCCAACACTGAACCAGTTTCACGAAACTTAGCAAGCAGTTTGCTAACTGTAGCATGGGAGATGGGTGGTCTCGTAGAGTGTCTGGCATTGAAATCTGCTGCAATGACCCAGTTACTGCGTTCACCAGATATCAACACAATTTAGATCCACTCCTCACGTCTTAACCTCTTTGACATGTCAATGGCTGTGAACAAAGAGAAACTTGTAAATAACTCATGAAAGAATACAGTTACGTTGAAACCAAGCACACCATTGTTGTTCTTGTGACATTACCAATAAGTTTGATGTGTCACATGGCCCTCTTCCTATTGAAAGAACAAACGTATCCAAGATGGCCGACTTCTAAATGGCCACCATGGTCACCACCCATCTTGAGGAGTTTGCCCCCTCACATATACTAATGTGCCACAAACAGGACTTTAATATCACCAACCATTCCCATGTTATTACGGTGTTTCCATATAAATGGCCCACCCTGAATATTAAAAAACAAAGCAGAAAAAAAGCTGGATATGAAATTTACCATTGAACTTAAATTGTTATTATGTCCAACAGTTCTGTGAAAAAAAGTTTTACTTTAATTTATAGGAAAAAGTCAATTTTTTTCCAGTCCAGTTTTTTTAAATTATTATTTTATTTTATTCATTTTTTTCTTTTTCTTTTTATGTTCTGTTTTGTTGATACTCTCTATCTCCCCTGTATAATGTTAAAAAAAACCCATAAAAATAAAGTATCAAAAAAAAGAAAAAAGTCCAACACTTTCAACTATTCATAGTGCAAACATCTTTCAGCTTTTTCCTGTAGGGGTCACCACTGCAGATCATCTTGCATTTTATCCTATCTCTGCATCTTCCTCTGTCACATCAGCCCTCTGTATGTATCCATGAGCCTCCTCTGAGGTCTCTTTCTTTTGTTCCTTCCTTCCATCCACTATCTCTTCTCTGTACTTGCCCAAACCATGTCAGCCTTGTCTTGATGCATGCTCAATCAGGTAAGTAAATCCCAAAAAGTTGATGCTGTTCACATGGATTTTTTAGTGGGAGAAACGTTTCATCACTCATCCAACTGAGTTCTTCAGTCTCAGCTGACTGCAGGTTTCCAACCTTATAAACTGTACATTTGCACAATGACTGAAACTACCACCACTGGCAAACAATGGGCTTTGAGGTCAGTTTCTTCATTAATATGGAAATTGTCATGACCATTGATCAAAGACCACTGATCAATGGCCATGAGTACCATTCACAGAGAGTTGGGGAATGGCTGCAATCACAGCATTGTGAGATGGTGACAGATGTACCCTTTGACCCCCTCCTCGATTCAGAGATGGTGTAGCCACATTGCCACAGGTGTATAAAATCAACCACCAAACACCATTACTAGCAATAAGGAATCCATTTTCAGAGTGGGAGAAAATGAAATAGTGGCTAAAAAGAAAATCCTTGCTCGAGTGACAGCTTTCCTATCAGGCACTGTAATTCAAGCACTCACTGAAAAGGGGTGGGGGTAGGGAGAGCGAATGTCCTGTCACTGCTATGAGTAAGTCTACCCTTTGAAAGCCACTACTGATAAAGACACGAGCCAGTGAAGAATGCAGGATATGACTTTAACATTAGCAGCTCTGTTCGTGCAAGCAAATCATTAAATAGGGCCAGAAAAGGAGGGAGGCTAAAGACAAGCTTTGAAAGATGGATACAGAAAAGAAGAGATGCTATCAAACTACTTATACTTAAAGTACTCTAGAATACGTGTATGGATTGCTAGCTGTTCAACAGTATTTACAGCCTGGCAATTTCTAATCTAGTTATCTAGATATGACATTGCTCACGAGATTGTTTTACTGTTTTTTTGGCAGTAAAATATTATATTGATAATGGATAGAGTTGGGCAGGTCAGTGGGAGGAATATACAAGTTTCTTGCTGAGTTGTGTCTTTTGGTAGACAGCATGTAGAAAACGTTGTGATCTGGGTGGGGTGGGCAAGACTGTGAAACATAAGCAAAGAGAAGGAAGGCTTTAGCTGTTTTATAACTAGTTTCATAACTTCCTTGATCTTCTGTTGAATAAAGTCATATGTCACCGTCAGTGGAGGAAGAAAAGGTTATTGTCTTTCAGTCCAATCAGCATTCTCTACACACCAACAACATCTTGACAAGTATCATCTTATGCAAATTTTATATAGATTTTTCAATCTAAATTTCATTAAATGTAAAGAAAGACTTTTGCCATGAGGATGAATTTCAAAGTCTTCAAAAGAAAAATCCCAAAACACAGCTTGCTCTGTCATTTTGATGTCGTCTGTCATCATTTACACAACACTAATACAATGATTAAGGCCAACTGAACAATCACAACTCTTGTATTGATATGCATCAAAACATCCCACCTTAAAAGTTGCCAGCAGTCGTAAGTTGCTTCTGAGTGAATGCATAATTACTGAAATGTAAATTTTCTGCGGAGGAGTTCACATGGTCACAAAAAACAGGCAGTTGTGTTTGCATGGATCCTCATACTTATCGTCTTATGATGATAATTTACGTCACTGGAACTCAAGCGGACCTTAGTGGAGACAGGAAGTATAATCCCTGATTTAGTCTGACAGCAGGATGATATATTGAGATGATATAATACTAGAAGACTTTTGAGTCCTCATTAATACAAGTGCTAGATAGTAAGGAATCACAATAATTCAGTAAGAAACAAATGCATGAACTAATTTGTCAGCATCACGGAGTCAGGATATTTCTAAATTTAGTGATGATTAAGTGAAAGAAGGCAGTCAGGGCCATTTGTTTAACATGGTCCCATCAATGCTTCTTATGGCAGTCAAAGTGTATAGAGTGATTTCTAAATAATAACATAAAACACACACCAGTGATCATTATAACACTATAGTACTAAGTACTACATATACCTCTCACA